TTCTGGATAGGAAGAGCAAATCCCAATGTTTGTTATTTTTTATGAGAGATGGTCTAGGCCAGGAAAAAAGTTTCCATGACCAAGTTAAAAAGCAGAGAACTCTTTCTTTGCTGATATTCTTCATGGGCTCCCCACCTGCCCAAACTAGATTCCCTGCTGGCCTGGGAAGTTCTACTGCCGCTCCAGCGTCATCAAAGCCCCCTCTTCCCTGAATGGCTCTGAGCAATAACCACACTGACTCTGTGGATCTCTGGAATGCTCCATGCTCCTTCCTTCCTCAGGACCTTTGCACAGGCTATTTCTACTTTCCCATCCCACCCCTAAAGGCCATCTTTAGGTCTTAGCTAAAATGCCATTTCTTCCATGAACTTCCTGTGACCTTCCCACAGGAAAATGCCTCCTAGCAAGCGTTCTCTCTTAGCACCTGCACTTGTTTATTTTTCACAGCATCAGTTATAACAGCAGGTAACTAATTGATTGCGCAATTATTTGTTTAATGTCTATCCTTTTGACTGGTCTATAACACTGTGCAGTCAGAGGCCATGTCTTATTCACTGCTGCGTCCCAGAGTTTAGCACTGTGCGTGGTACATAATGGGTGCTGGGTAAACATGTTTTGAATGAATGAATGAACAAGGTTGGGGCATCAGGGCAGGGAAGGATGAATGTCTGCCAGACACGTCTCTTTTTACTTCACACTGGCACTCCCTAATAGAGCTTGGTTTGATTTCCCTCCTTGGTCTTTCCTCATTTCAGGTCTTCGCCTCTGCTCTTGGGGCTGGAGTCCATCAATCAGCAAACATTCTGTGAGGTGGAGCAGAGGGGATCCTGGGCAGCACAGAATATAAAGTCTGTAGGCTGTGTGAGGAGGGGAAACCACTTCGAGGTGTGGGGACTAGGGGGCTGTGTGGAGGGCTTAGGACTTGTAGCCCTAACCAGTCAAAGTTAGAGGGAGGCCTACCCAGTGGTCAGCAACCCCAGGGGCCCCCGGTCAGTCCCATCTGCTGACAGGACTATGGCTGCCTCAGGACTGGGCAGCCTGGGTGAGCAGCCTGGCAGAGCTCAGAGTTAGCCTGGCTCCTCTGGGAGAAGGGCTTCTCCAAGCTGGGCAGGCTCCTGCCAGTACCTCCTTTTACCTGCTGGCCCAGACCGAGTGGGTGGGGGCAAACTGGGGTCTTCAGGGTATCCAGCTCTCAGGCTTCTGAGCTGGCTGTGGAGGGAGGAGCCCCAATCCTCTGGTTTTTCCCAGACACCCTACCTACCCCTTTAGCCATTTCCTGGCCTTAAGCTACTTGAGAAGTCAGCGAGCACACCTGCAAAGGCCCCTCATTCCCAGCCCCATGTCACTGGATATAAAAATATAAAAGATAAATCAACAATGTATAGAGTTTGTTGTGTTCCCCTTCTACCCCTTATTAAAAATACTTTACGGAACCAGCGAATGTTGGAGCTGAAGGAAAACTAGTTCAACCTGACGTTCGCAAGAGGAAGAGGCCAAGACCCCAGGAAGTAAACTGAGACCCCCGGACCCCTTACCATGCTTTAGGGGTGCATGCCTTTGGTTCAGAATGTTAGACACCCATGCCTTAAGCCATCTTTAGGTGCCAGATTTGTGGGGTTGTCCATGGGCAAACAGCTGAGGACCTGACCCCATGGGAACAAGAAGTGGGGGGCAGCACCTAAAGGTGGAAAGCACTGAGCCAGGATGTGAGAGAGCGTGGTGTTCCTCCCCTCCCACCTCACCCCACTGCGGAGGCTCCGGGGAGCCGCCAGCCTTCTGGAGTTGCAGTCTCCTCATCTCTTGAATGCAGTAATAGCCTTGTCTCCAGATTGCTCCTCGCCAGGGAGGTTGTGAAGAGCTTCATGATAAGGTCAGCTTGGGCTTCTTGATTTCTGAAGTCACCCTGTAATTGTAGGAGTGTGTGTCTTGAGGACTGGTCTGGAAGCCATGGGTAAGCCCTTCTTCCAGTGGGCTGTGTGGGAGGGGTCACTTCCTAGGCCAAGGGGAAAGACATGCTTTCTTGGCCCTTCTCTGATGGGCTGCCCCTCGGCCAGGCTGACTGTCTGTGCACCATCTCCCATTCATAGTAACAAGGATTCCAAACCCCAAATGCCCGATTTCATCACTAGATTCATGCTAAAAAAGCCTAGTGGGTGGAAATTCACCGAGCTGTGCTTTCTTAAGGATGATTCAACATTTCCTCTAGCATTTGGTGAGGGAGATGCTGAATTGAATGTGTCTCAGCACCTTGGGACCCTCTTATCCTTGCCCCTGATGTCCTGGAAGCCCTGGTTTTTCAGAGCCTGTCAGGGGCCTTTGATTAGAAAGCACTGTCTTAGGTCAGCATCCCTAAGAGGGAACCTAGCTGTGCCTGGGGCCCATCTGTAGTGCCTTCTCCCCATTCCCCAGGAATATGGAGCTTCAGTCTTGCCGAGACCCTCTCCATACCCCTGACCAGGCCCTGTCAGCCTCTCTCTCCTTCCCCTCCAGCTTCCCTTTTCCCTAAAGCACAGGAACATGGTACAGCTCATCTTTCTCCCTCCTGTTCAGCAATCTACTTTCCCTTCCTTCTCTCTTCCCAACCCCCATGCTGAGAGACTAGTGAGCCTGTGTGGAGAAGCAATGGGAGTGCAGAGGCAGGGCAGGGCCGTGGGGCTGCAGATCAGGGCAGCCTTCCTGGACGAGGTGGTCCTAGCTGGGCTTTAAAGGATGGACAAGGTGTGGAGGAGCACAGGGAGGGAGGATAAGCTACCGAAGGGTCAAAGGATGGGTGTGAGGAGCCTAGTTCGGGTCAGGGGTGTAGCAGGGGGGAACCTGGGCGGAGTGGCCGTGTGTGGGGTGGGTTGCAAGGAAGGCTGGCTAAGAGATGGTGGAGAAGCCGAACCGTAGACATATTCTTTGACGAAGACCCCAGTGGCCCCAGCTGCTGTGGTAGTTTTAGCTAAATAAAGCAATCACTGTGATTTGAAACCACAGAGGGCTTGTTCCACTGTGATGGCAACTAATTATGGATTGTAATTGTTTAAACCAAGGGAGGTGTTTTGACCTGAATAGCAATAATGTGACCAGCCTCCTTTGGTGTCTTCCCACAACCAGCCCATGGGGCCATGGACCTGTCTCCACAGAGCCTGCCCCACTCCAGATGCTCGGAGGACAAAGGTGAGGCTGGGGACAGCATCCACCTTGGCCCAGGGAATGATCTTCTCTGGATCTTTGTGAGGAAGGCGGCAGAGATGGAGGGAGTGGAGGGGGACCTGGCTCAGGTCCTTCTCTGGAACCCGGGGCTATCAGCACCTCGCAGGACCATCTGGAAGATGTGGCAAGAGGCCGCGGGGAAGGTGCCTGCAGAGCAGACACAGCATGTGGGAGAGCCGGATGCTGTTGGTAGCAAAGCCAAGTGACCCGATGAGGAAACAGCCCAGAGGGGAGGCTTGACCAAAGTCTCACAGTCCCGAGCAGGGATCGGGGGTTTTGAATATTGGCTTCTCATCAGTGTTCATGGCCACTCCAAGGCATTATGTGGACAAGTCACTTTACCTGTCTGAGCCTCAGCTTTCTCATTTGTGAAAGGGGCACAGTTAATACCTATCTGATGGAGCGACTATGAGGATTATGTGTGATGATCGGTGCAAAGCCACGCAGTGCCCAGCATGCAGACACGCTTAGTGAGCATTCGTTCTCTCCTGCCCACCTGCTCCGTCCGGCCCTACTGTGTGGCTTCGTTGGAATCATGTCCAAGTAGAGACCTTCAGTGATGCAACCACTCCGCTCACCCATGCAGGGAGAACTGTTGGCTCTGCTGCAGAATACCCCAGGGTTGATGCAAGGTGGACAGTGCACAGAAATGAACTCTTCTGAACTCTCCACTGGGGTCAGTTTCTTTGCCTGATCCAGTTCTCCCCTTACAGCTTTCAAATTGTATGAGTTTCTTCTGTCCATCTTGTCGGAAGGCCCTGGGAGAACGGGGCTACGGTATAAAGGAGTGTCCCCTCTCCCTGCCCCCGCATCACCTAACAGAGGCCCTCATAAATATTTCATGGGATCCGAGTGCACGGTGCTCACCTTACAGCTGGAGAGGCTCAGAAGGAGACGCGACGCTCCTGCAGGGTCAGGGTGCAATGCCAGGTCTCCTGACCCCACTTCAGGGCTCTACCTGCTGCCTTGCTGAAGTCCCATCGGAGCTGTCCCCCTGGGCTGAACTTTTGGTGTTCTGCCTGGAACTCCTCCCCTACTCGTTTCCTTATCTGTCTCCCATGTATCCTTTAGAACTCAGCTTAAATATTTATAGCCTTGGCCCTCACCTTGACCTGCTTGAATCCCTCTGTGTTCTGCTCTCACAACAACATCTGGGGCAGAGATTGCTCATTCGTGATATACATGGTTACTTTTTTTTTTTTTTTAACCAAATCCTGATTTAACAGGGAAGCAATGTGTACATTTAAAGAAACTACCTCTCAAAGACTTCCCGACAGCTTAGGAAGATGCTGGGTCAGGCTTCTGAGAAATTGAGAAAGAGCTGACTATTTTTTTCTCTTTGCACGTTGCGCCTTTCCTTCATTTTGCCTGGAACACAGATGTGATGGCTGGAACTGTAGCAGCTGTCTTGGACCTTTATGTTAAGGCTATCAAGTATGCTCTTTCATTAGAGCAGAAGCATGGCAAGAGTCTGGGCCCCTGAGGGCTTCGTGCGAGCCATCTCTCCAGCCCTGGGCTACCCACTTCTGGACTTGTTTTATGTAAGATATAAAGCTCTTATTTGTTTCCATCACTACAATTGAATGTCTATTCCTGGCAGCCAAACACAACGCCATTGCTAGAATATCCTTTGTGGCTTTTATCTAGTTTATGCTAGTTTGTGCTGTGTGCAGGTCCTGTAACACCCCCATCATTAGATAGTGTGCTTGATGAAGGCAAGGACCCCATCTGCCTTGTTTATTTCTGCATCCCCAGGAACCAACACAGTGCCTGGCATTGTTAGTGCCAGTAGGTGCTTTGTAAATTTTCTTGAATGAATGAATGAATACATCCCAATGAGTACTTGGTGCCTAGCAGGGGTCCTATGGGATCATTGGGGGAAAGGATGGCTCTGACAGTGGCCTTTGTGTTAATTATGAGAAGCAACTTCAGCTGCCCAGGTTGCTATGAACTGCCTTTCCCTTCCCAGTAAACTGGCTCCACAATATCACTTACAAATATAATTTAAATATTTTTTCCAACCTGAAAGTCCATTTGAGGGCACTCTCCTTTAATAACTACTTAAAAATATGCAAGAGACAAACCAAAGCACACAAGAAACCATTTTTAAAATTTTCAGTCTTGGTTTCATGTTGTTGATTTCCTCATATAGTTGGGCTCATATAGAAAGTTGTATCTTTTCCTCCCCTCCAATATCATCACAGAGTTTTCCCATTTATTAAAAGCTGGGCTGAACTATAATTTTTAGTGGCTATGTGGCAGCCTGTTTCCCATCAAGGGGAATTACTTGGCCTGCCCCATCTTCTGGCACTTTTTGTTGGAATGATGCTGTAATGAACATCTTTGTATCCAAAGCTTTTCCTGTACTTCAGATTGTTTCCTTAGAGGGGATTTTCAGAAACGGAGTTATTTGACTAAGGGGGATCAACATGTCCCAGTGTCATTTTGCAGAATGACAGTCAATACAAAGTTAAAAGGAGAGAGAGACTCAGTCCTCTTCATCTTCTCTGGGCTCAGTTTCTCCGGCTGTAAACGGAGCAGGTCACATTAGAGGGCTTCAGGTTCCCTTACAGATCGGAAGTTCTGTTGATGGTTATGGAATGAGGTCTCTGCTATCCTTCAGGGCACGAGGTCGGGAGGTGAGGGCAGGGGCAGAGACCTGGATATGTCGGCCTGTGCCTCGGTTCACCCCTTGGGCTGATCCTGCCCGTGGAAGTGGGTCATCAGAGCCTCTAGGCCCCCGACCCCACCCTTTCTGGGTCTTCCTTACGTTCTCCCCCAACTCCTAGCAAGCGTGTACATATGGCAACCCTGGCCCTTCCAGAAAGGGAAGAGAGGTTCAGACCCCCACTGAGTCCGAGGCCCTGTGTGGAGTCTATTAAGGGACTGGGGACTCAACTTTGAAGGAGGTGCAGGAAGAGACACTGCTTCAGCTAAAGGGACACCTCTGGACCAGAACGGCAGACCCTCTGCCGGCCCTTGGAGGATTTGAGCACAGCAGAGCCAGCGTGCTCTGCCATGAGCCTCCCAGCCTTCTGCCCCCAGAGATGTATGACTGTATTTACCTTCTTTCCGCGCCTCACCAGACCACGCGCTCCTTGAGGGCCGGGTTTCCTTCTGATTTGTCTCTGCATCTGGGACATAGTAGGTGCGCAATACTTATTTTAAGTTCATGAGGGAAGAGAAATGCTAAACCTAACAAATAATTGAGGATATTGGAGGGGAGGAAAAGATACAAATTTTTATATGAGCCTAACAATATGAGGAAATGAACTGCACGAAACCAAGACTGAAACGATGTGAGGGAAGAATTCTTGGCAAGATGGGAATGGGAGCTAGAGCTGCGAGAGGAACGAGTGAGTGGGACAGGAAACTGCAGAAAGTCCTGGGCTGCTCCTTTCTCTGTCAAGGCAACTTCAACTGAGCCAGCCCCAGATCCCTGCCACGTGGCCCTTCCTGGGTGTGCAGGCTGCAGGGCCCTGGCTGGGGTGTCTGGGGAGCGAGCCCTCAAAGCGCATACCTTGGCAAGGGTGGCAGAAAGCTTTGTGTGGAGGGGAAGTAGGTGCAGGAAGAGCAAGCCAGGGGCCCTGAAGGCTCAGTTGCTCATCACAAACTTTTAGTTTCATTTATTCAGTTATTCTTTCACCCAATTTTTGAACATCTGTGGCTATGTGTTATGTTCTGTGTTAAGTGCTAGGTGTTCAAGGATGGGAAAGAGAGATATAGCTGCTGCGAAGGCCTAGAACACTCGGGCAAAGTGTTGGTACCTAGGAAGGCAGTGGGTGGTGCCTGGCAGAGTGGGTGATGCGTGCAGGTGGGGCATCCAGGTAGGAGTGGCAGTGTGCAGCCAGGGTGGCCATGCCTAGAGGTAGGGGCCTCTCCGGCTGGCCCTTGGGTCCTGTGAGCAGCAGTGAGGTACAGCCTTGCACCTCTGCAAGTGTACAGACCTCTGCTGCAAAGGCACCAAAGGGGAGCTGGAGAGGTAATGGGGGGGGAAATGGATACTCCACGTGGTAATGTCTGGGCAGAGCTTGGAGGTTCCACACGGGGAACATGAGCCTGGGAGATGTTGCTTGCACATAAAAAAGTGGCATATAAGATCAAATGGAAAATTATAACCCGATATATATGCTAGGATATGTCTATGTTAACATACTAGCTGTGGAAGGCAATATGCAGAAAGAAGGAAAAAAGACTGTTGATTGCATTAAGTGCAAGTCTGAATTATTTGTTAGGTTTAGTGTTTAATCTTACTATACTATGTTAAGAGTTATAATAATAGTAGTAATACTATAATAACAATAATGGTAAAATTGAGTAGAACAATGCTAAAGCTTATGGGAATGGAAGATATTTCCTTGAGATTCCTTACCACCTAGTAAAAGGGTAGCTGGTAAGATAGGATGGGATGAATGCCCTCCAGGCCTTCTCCTGTGGCTGGGGTCAGAGTCACAGGAGAAGCCCTCAGCCTACAGGTGAGGCAGCTACGTTTCCACTGGTACTGGGATGAACCGGGGATGATTTGCTTCCATTCATGAGCAACCATCAGCTCTACCGCCCACTCTCAGCAAAGAAGGAGCCAGGCCCATGTCGACGCCTTTCTTTCCAAGTGGGTTGTTGGTGTAGCTGGCAACTTCCGGCTGCATTAGGTGGCACATCGGAGTTGCTCCTCTCTTTGTGACAGGAAAATGGAAAAGTGTGCTTACATTTGCTCTGTGGTCTTTAAAAGTTTGGTTGTTTGATGTGTCTTTGCTGGGGTTGGGCATAGCTTGATGGATATTTGTTGAATGACTAATTATTGACCTATTGGCTAACAGCCTCCACTGAAGTAGGCTGAACAAACAATCTGCTGAGTGGGACGTGGTGTCAAAGTGACACAGCTTACTCATCCGCTCACCAGAGCACACTGTTAGTGATTAGTACCTGAAATACTAAGACGAAGCACTGAAAAGGGAAGACTTGGAGACACCAGGACAGGTCCACGTAGACCTAAGGGTAGGAGGAAGAAGGCATAAGATACTCAGTGTTGAATAAGTCAAGTCTAGAAAACAGGGACTTCTCGATGGGTGTCAGTCAATAACAGTTTGGTGCTAGAAATTATTGTAAACTTAGCTCTTTATAATAATAATACTAATAATTATTATTGTTGTTGTTGTTGCTGTTATTATAATAATAAATTTGTTGGAAGGCTTTGAGGACTCTCACTAAACTCAGGGGCAAGGATGACAGCCAGTTCCCATGAGAGGTTCGAGGTGGAACTGACTGGAAAGCTATCAGAAACCCAGACAGTTGCTTGCCTGCGCTGTGTCCCTCCTTTTCTGGGGCCTTAGGGTCTTTTATCTTATCCTCTAGGTGGGTCTGTTTCATTCTTTGCTTTGCAGACTGGCCTTCCCTAGGTCCAAAAATATTCACCTCAGATGGAACATGATCTCTCCAATCATGGACCCAAAAATCCGGAGTCTAAATACAAATTCCCAGGAAAAGGAATCTGATTGGCCAATAGGGGGTCTTCTCAGATGTCCATCTCTATACCAATAGGTATGTTGAGGTGTGTAAACATAACTGCAGGGACCACTCCTGTGGGTGGGAAGGTGTTTCTCAGAGAAGGTGGCACAGATGGGGCAGGTACATTGGCTAACATGTCTGCTGTGGTGGAAACTGGAATGACTTGGCCATTGAATGGAAATATTCAGCCATGTGTAGAAAATGTCCACCGTGAACTTTAAAAAATGAATAGCTTCTGAAGCATAGAGTTCAGGCTGTCATAAGGGCCTACGTAATAGCTGATTTCTGAGGAGTGACCCCCTCATTTTCCAAGTCTTTAGAGAAAGCAGTTAGTAGAAAATGTTAATGACCAATTTTAGCAAATGACCCTTTTGGTGCTCCCAGGCCACTAGGGCTGGCCAGAGCTAATTTTTAGAATGCCCCCTTGATGATTCTGGCAACTTGTTTAATGTTGACCTAGAGACATGCAATGGGCCCAGGTCCAAACACAGAGCTAAGCTTGGGTTTGCTTTACTGTGGGCAAGGAAAAGCTGCCCCAATGACTGCATGTGGATTTCTTGTCTCTGCACATGCCATGGCTTGTCTAGCCTTGCTGTGGAGTTGCTGGCTGTGGCTGGACAGGTGGCACACAACTTTATGAGGTGGCCATGTTCATAGCTCTCATCTGATTCACTCAGGAGCTGGATTCCATGCTGGTTTCACAGCTGTATGTCTGTGCCTCTGGGCTCCCCCTCTGGCATGCAGGAGATTGCCTTTCTCTTACCTCACCCGTGCAGGCTGTATAGGTCTGGCTGCTGGCCTCTCTCCTCTGTTCCCTCTGCTTCTCCGAGGTGAGAGGCTCTCAGGAAGAACCTGACATCTATCCTTACAGCAAGACATGCATAGAGGTCACTTTAGGCCCCTCTCCTGGACTACATTTTAAAGCCTCTCACTGTGGCATCTTCCATGTTGGCGCCTGTTACGGAGAGTTGAGCCCAGCTGGCCGGAAGAGTGCTTCCTGAGGAGTGGGTTGTTCTCTGATGCGAAGTTGCACCCAGTGGCTGGTTACTCCCTCTCAGCATGAACCAGCCCCAAGATAGAGGCTGTTTTTCTAGGTCTTCATCATCAAAATATTGCAACGACACAGTTTATCCACAAGGGCCCTCCCACTCTAAGCTTCTGGTCCTAATCGGTAGAGCCTCTGGCACCCAGTAGGTTCTCCCTGTGGGTGCTTGGTTGATAGTTGGATTCACTGCTTCATTGCCTAGTGCCCTGGAGCGGGTGAGCCCCAGTCCCTGGGCGCCTTCCCCTGCAGATCCTCACCGCAGGATTTGGCTCATAGCCTGCGCTGCCTTGCCATCGTTTTTCACCAGCCCCACCCCAAGAGGCAGCCTCCCTCTAACCTTTCTTGGTCGCTCCAGCTTCCCTGGAGTGTTGACTTAGCTGGAGAGCATGCTCCTTCTTTAACCTCAGCATGTTTGCTCAGCAGAGGAGATAGCTGATTTCTGAGGAGTGACCCCCTCATTTTCCAAGTCTTTAGAGAAAGCAGTTAGTAGAAAATGTTAATGACCAATTTTAGCAAATGACCCTTTTGGTGCTCCCAGGCCACTAGGGCTGGCCAGAGCTAATTTTTAGAATGCCCCCTTGATGATTCTGGCAACTTGTTTAATGTTGACCTAGAGACATGCAATGGGCCCAGGTCCAAACACAGAGCTAAGCTTGGGTTTGCTTTACTGTGGGCAAGGAAAAGCTGCCCCAATGACTGCATGTGGATTTCTTGTCTCTGCACATGCCATGGCTTGTCTAGCCTTGCTGTGGAGTTGCTGGCTGTGGCTGGACAGGTGGCACACAACTTTATGAGGTGGCCATGTTCATAGCTCTCATCTGATTCACTCAGGAGCTGGATTCCATGCTGGTTTCACAGCTGTATGTCTGTGCCTCTGGGCTCCCCCTCTGGCATGCAGGAGATTGCCTTTCTCTTACCTCACCCGTGCAGGCTGTATAGGTCTGGCTGCTGGCCTCTCTCCTCTGTTCCCTCTGCTTCTCCGAGGTGAGAGGCTCTCAGGAAGAACCTGACATCTATCCTTACAGCAAGACATGCATAGAGGTCACTTTAGGCCCCTCTCCTGGACTACATTTTAAAGCCTCTCACTGTGGCATCTTCCATGTTGGCGCCTGTTACGGAGAGTTGAGCCCAGCTGGCCGGAAGAGTGCTTCCTGAGGAGTGGGTTGTTCTCTGATGCGAAGTTGCACCCAGTGGCTGGTTACTCCCTCTCAGCATGAACCAGCCCCAAGATAGAGGCTGTTTTTCTAGGTCTTCATCATCAAAATATTGCAACGACACAGTTTATCCACAAGGGCCCTCCCACTCTAAGCTTCTGGTCCTAATCGGTAGAGCCTCTGGCACCCAGTAGGTTCTCCCTGTGGGTGCTTGGTTGATAGTTGGATTCACTGCTTCATTGCCTAGTGCCCTGGAGCGGGTGAGCCCCAGTCCCTGGGCGCCTTCCCCTGCAGATCCTCACCGCAGGATTTGGCTCATAGCCTGCGCTGCCTTGCCATCGTTTTTCACCAGCCCCACCCCAAGAGGCAGCCTCCCTCTAACCTTTCTTGGTCGCTCCAGCTTCCCTGGAGTGTTGACTTAGCTGGAGAGCATGCTCCTTCTTTAACCTCAGCATGTTTGCTCAGCAGAGGAGCGGGCACTGGGTCCGCCTGCCTCCAGGAGCACACGGGTTCCTCTGTCTTTACAGGAGCATCCCACGGAGGGGGCTGTGACCGAAAGGGGGAGGGCGCGGAGGATGGAGGGGCACCTTCCGTGCTGCTGCCGGTTATCACAGGCTGTTCTAATGCTGCTCAAACAATATTGAGAATGACCCTGGCTCAATAGCACCAGTGTTAGCCTGCAAAGTCAATATTGGCTGAGCAAACACGGCAAATAAGGAGTTGCTATTTGCGTAGCTATGAGTACTTGTGCGCTCTGGCTGCCTTGACAGGCCCTTGGAAATGAAGGGGAAAGGCGGTGGTGTCTGGAGGTGGAGGGGCTGTGAGAGGGCCAGGCCAGGGTTTCTCACCTCGGCGCTGCTGACAGCTGGGCCGGACACTTCTTTGCTGCGGGCTGTCCTGTGCTCGTGGCGTGCTGAACAGCATCCCTTGGCCTCTGTCCAGTAGATGCTAGGGGCACCCCCTCCCCGGGCGTGACAAGTAAAACTGTCTATAGACCTTGCAGGGTGGGAGCAGGGGTCTTATTCTCCCCCTGCTGAGACCCACTAGCTCTGGGCCAGGCTTGGGGGCAGGAGGGTGGGAAGGTTGAGAAGGACTTGCTTGCCCCTCCTTGACCCTCCCGCTCTCCAGGCTGGATGGCCAGTCTCTGTGAGCACCGAGAAAAGCCAGCCAGAGTCTTTAAGAAATAAATGCAATGTGGAAGTGTCTCTTCCAATCAAAGAAACTTTTCAGCCGCCGCTGTGTGTCTGCAGCCACCTTCTCACCCTTGTCCTATCTAAGAACTCACTCCCGTTCTCCACCCCAGGAGAGGGAGGTTGTGAGACTCTCAGATAGTTTACCTCTGTCTCTCTTGTAGAATTTCAGGCATGCTTCGCTCTGGCTGGTGACCTTCTCTCTTGCACAATGCCTATTTATAACAACCTGTCCCTGGCTCCATGTCCACGTGTGTGCTACCCGGGCTCAGCATGTGCTCTCCTGAATCCCACAAGGAGCCAGTGCTGGGCGCCGGGGGGAGGGCCCGAGGCAGGGGGAACAGCAGGGCACTCGGTCCACAGCAGACAGGCTGCACCGCCTCAAGCCCTGCAGCGTCACATCCAGGCTCTGTCTGTCTCCCCTCTGGAGGATGTGAGAGAAGTATTTGTAGGCCTGGGCAGGCACAGACTGTGTCAGGGGCTTTCCGTGTCATAACTACCATCTTCTCTGCCAGGCCTTAAGCTGGGACAAGAAAGATGGCCAGGGAACCTGGACTAAGTAGCACTGGCCATGTCCTAATGCCTCCAGGCTGGGCTCTCAGGATGGCATTAGATGCCATCAGCTGGGGTGGAATAGCAATGAATATCATGACAATACCAATAAATGACCTTTAAGGGCAGCTCCTCGCTCCGTGGTGATCCCTCTTGCTGGGACGGGAGCAGCGGGGGTGGGAGGGCGGGGGGAGGCCCATCCCTGGGCAGCCATGGCGATGTCGGCTCCTGACCCCCATACCCATCAGATCAGCCCCAGCAGGCAGCATCTAAGAAGAGAGAAGGCTCCTGTGCGCTCAGATGTTGGGAAGGCAGGAAGTGTGTTTGTGTCAGAAAGGAAGGAGATAGGCAGTAAGGGTGAGCCGGGCAGTGTTAGTGCACTGAAGCAACTGCAGCTGTTTTTGTTTTTTCCAGAGTTAACACACACTTGTCCCTGTCCCTCCTCTTGGCCTCTTTTGCGCCCTGTGCCCTCCTGTCCCTTAAACCCAGGGCAAACTACTTCTCAAAGGTGCTTGCTTATTAATGCCCCAGAGCAACGGAGGTCTTGCCAAAGTGTTCAGACCTGCTGCCAGATTTCTCTAGAGACTTGGCTGGGGGCTGCTGGGCATGACTAGACCCAAGACTCAAGGCCCGAAGGAAGGAAACTTCTTATGAAGCCATCTCGTTCGTGAGCCACCTGGGAAAATGGGATCTGAATTTGGAATCTGGGGAGAGGGTCTTGGGGAAGGTGTACCCCAACCAGAGCCCCCTGTGTGGGCTTATACTGGCTTCCCTGTTCCCAGGTCCCTGCAGGTGTATTTCTGCTCCTGGTGGAAAGGGGGTGCTGAGGGGCTATGCCTGTGGTGGGGAAGCCTCAGGGGAGCGATGGGACTGGGAGAGTGGTTCTGGGTCCTGCACATTGGCTCCCACCAACAGACCTCATTCTCTCTCTCGTATCCAGAGATCTGTGTCAGATTTCATTTGAATAGAGGCTTTTGCTGTTGAAAAAAGAAGTTGCAGTTGTTTAGAAAGTGATTTGATGCTCAAGCCAGGAGCAACGGAGTTCTAACCCATGTTACCCCACTTTCACTTTACTGGCCACATTCCCTGAGGGTGACTGAACCTTTCTGGGCTTTAGTGGTTCCACCAGTAATGCTAGAATCGTAGCACTGAACCCATAGGGCTGTTGGGAGGATTGCAATGAGACAACACGTGCACAATGTCATGGACACTCAGGAAATGTCCATCCTCAATGCCCTTCACCTTTCACCTACCTGACCCTGCCCAGCTTCGGGGCCCAGCCTCAGTTCAGCCCCCACCAGGCAGCCTCTGACAGCCTCACTTCTCCAGCTCCCAGTCACTTCTTCCCTCTCTGAGAGGACGAGGCATAGAAAGAACATTAGCGGTGGGATTAAAAGAGCTGGCTTTGAATTCTGACTCCAGTTTAGTGGCAGGAGACATCTGGCCAGAGACTTGATCTCTCTGAGCTTTGGTTTGCTCATCTGTGGAGGAGATCTGATAATACTTCCCTCGGAGGTAACTGGAAGTCAAGACAAGACAGTAAGTCAGGAATGTTGATATAGGTACAAAGCCCCCCTTGGAATTTATTTAAAATGCAGATTTACTGACCTTCCTATCAAGAGCTTCTGATACAGTTGATCTGGGGTGGAGCCCAAGAACCTGCAGTTCAGATGGGCAGGCAAGGTGACTGTGATACAGACAGTCCACCGAGAGGCGGTACAGCGTGTGCAGTATCCCAGGGTCCCGGGGCCTCACCCGATGGAGTACAGCCGAAGGCGGCACACTGCACACAGTCTTCTTTCCAGCTGCTCAGGCAGGACCACCTGCAAAGCCCCCTCGAGTCCTGAGATTGCCCCCAAAGCGCCACAGCACACGGCGGTCAGTGCTCAGGGCCTGCCCACTTCTTTCTGTCCCTCCCTGCTGTCCACCTGTCCTTGACCTTCACTCCCGTGGCTGCTTGGATGGCCATCCCTGTGGTAGCTACTGTCTGTGATGGGGACAGTGTCCAAAAGTGCCCATGATGTGGTATCAGATGAGGGCCCACCTCCAGGAGAGTATGAGGCTGCAGTGTGTGTGTCGCCATGTCACATTTGCCGCCAGGCCCTAAAATTGTATGAGTGTTACAAACTACCTCAGGCTAAAAGCCCCTCATGGCCTCTCGCCAGCGATCTTATTCTATTGGAGCTGAAAACAGCCCAAGGGCTGGGCAGGGGACAGATGCTATCCCTTCCCTACAAGACGCTGAGTTCCTGGTGTGGCCGACATGAATGATTCTCCCTTCCTCGAGTCCCACGCTCCGTGGTGATCCCTCTTGCTGGGACGGGAGCAGCGGGGGTGGGAGGGCGGGGGGAGGCCCATCCCTGGGCAGCCATGGCGATGTCGGCTCCTGACCCCCATACCCATCAGATCAGCCCCAGCAGGCAGCATCTAAGAAGAGAGAAGGCTCCTGTGCGCTCAGATGTTGGGAAGGCAGGAAGTGTGTTTGTGTCAGAAA